GAAAGGAAAGGAGAAAGGAAAGGAGAAAGGAAAGGAGAAAGGAAAGGAGAAAGGAAAGGAAAGGAAAAAGGAAAGCAAAGGAAAGGAAAACGGGCCAATGAAGAAGCCACCATAGTTGTAAACCCACAGCGCCAGCCATGTGTGGTCCTTCCTCGGTGGTCAAGCAGTTCTTTGGATCTTTTGCCAGCTTCTTGCCTCGCCCTCCACAGAATTCAGCTGTTGCTTTCTATTCTCACCTTGGAAATGTTGCCCCAGCCCTTCCTCAGCCCCACCCCTATGCCCCAAATCCACCCCTACCCTGACACTGTCAGCAGCAAGGGCCTCAGGTTCTGACCTACTGAGTACAGCCTGGGACGGGAGCCCCTACCTCCACCCCTCCCACACCGACCTTCCTCCCTGCCTCTTCCTGGGAGGCTGAACTTCCCCCTCCTGTCAAGGTGCTGTCTTCCTCCACCAACACAGAGCAGTTTCCTCTGGGCACACCCCTGGCGTTTTGCTCTTCTCTACTTCCCTTCAGCCTTAGGCTTAGGAGCCTGCATCCCTCAAATCTAAAAGAGAAAAGGGACGGTGTGGAAGTGGCTGGAGCTTCAGGTGGCTATCCTCAGCTCTATAAAGCCCTGAACCCTTTACCATCCACTGGCCTCCTCTTCAGGTCTAAAAGCAGAATATAAACATCTGTGACCAGCTGCTGGCCTGTTAGTCACTGGTGACAGCTGGCTCTGCTGCCCCACCCACACTGCCCTGGCCAGTCACCCACCCTCCAGTTGTCACTAGTGTCCCCAGACATCTAGTCCTCCTGCTGCCCAGGCAGGTCAGATCCTGTTGTGCGTGCTGGAGTACTCTCTGGGCTTTCTATATGTCCTTCTGCCCATGTCCAAGACCCTTTTATAGATTCATCTGCCACTTTTGATTTGTTCATTTTCTTGTTTTGAGGCAGGGTCTTACCAGGCAGGTCTCAAACTTAGCAATCCTCCTGCTTCAGCCTTCTGTGGTGCTTGGCTTACAGGTGTGCACCACCATGCCTAGCTGACCCTTGTCTATCTGTCTGTCTGTGTGTCTCTCTTCATCTCTGTCTTTCTGTGTATGTCTCTGTCTCTCTGTGTGTGCCTCTGTCTCTCTGTGTGTGTCTTTGCTTCTCTCTCTTTCTCTGCCTCTCTCACTTGATTTCCTTGTGTAGCTCTGGCTATCCTGTAACTCAGTCTGCAGATCAGGCTGGCCTCGAACTCACAGAGATCCACTTGCCTGTGCCTCACTGAGTGCTGGCATTACAGGCATGCACCACCATGCCCAGCTTTAATCTTACTCCTTCTGAATAGTAGTAAGTCCCTTCTGAGCAGATTCCCACGTTCCACCTTTACTGAGCCTGCTGAGACAAGAATCACGCAGGCTTTACTCACTAAAGTCTTTTCTCCCTCCCTGTCCACTTCGTAATTTCAACTTTGCTGTTGCCCAAACCAGAAACCAGCCTTTCTCCTAGGTCTCCCCTGTCAGCCACCACAGCTGCTGGTTCTGTTCATTGCTTTCCATCTACCTGGCTGGCAACTAGCCATCCTTTAGCTAGATTTCTAGAAAAGCCCCACAACGTGGGCCCCACCCCATGCCAGCCTCCATTTCTCCTCAACCCCCAGTGCTTTCTCTCTAGTCGGGAATTACCCCAGGGCTCCATCTGAGTGACACATAAAGCCCTTTAAATGTTCCTGGTGGGTGTTGGGATGGAATGCAGAACACTTAACATGCTGTGTGAGATGTCTCACAATCCACCTGCTGCCGTCTCCCCGGCTTCGCCATCACCTGCAAGAACGTGAAGACATAAGATACTGCACCACTCAGCTGACAACTCCATAGAAAATGAAAGCAGAAGATTTTAAGTCAAAACTGCATACGCCCAACAGAAAATAAACCAGGATATGTTTGAATTTGTGAAGCATCTTAATCTGGACCAAACTGAAAAGAAAAAAAATTATAGTTTTAAATTTTACTTTACGTGTATGAGTGTTTTGCCTGCATGTGCGCACTGCACTACGCTCATGTCATGGGTGGGTGGAAGTCAGAAGAGGGTGGCGGATCCCCTGGAACTGAGCTAGACAGTTGTGAGCTGCTATGTGGGTGCTGGGAAACAAATTTGGTTACTTCTGAAAGAGCAACAAATGGTCTTAGCCTCTGAGCCGTCTCTCCAGCCCCCAAATGGAGAAATCTTAGCTGATGCTAGGAGAGGCACTAATAAAGTACAGAGAAACCATAGATTGAGGCATGGGGAGTAATTCAAGAGCAAAGTAAAAGTGCTTGCCTAAGGGAAAGAATAATGGTTCCCAAGCGGCGTCAGCTACAGCAGGGAGAACCAGCACCTTACCTCCCTCTCTGTGCTTCACTTTCTTCATCTATAAAGTGGAGCTATGAACTGTGTCAGGTTTGGAAAGCACATAGCCAAGGGCCTGGCCAAAACTCAGTAAGTATGAGCTGTTACTGTGTGAATTTGTAAACAGCTGGAGAGCTGGGGTCCCAGGCTTCTTGAGCAACCTCCAAAAGCAGAGGGGATGTTTAGTGTTCTAGTGGTCCTTTACCTGTTACAATGTTTCTGTCTTCCGGGTGCTCAATTTCACAGTGAACACAAAGGTTGAGCCTAGTACTGTGACACCAAATCACAGAGGCTTGTGTGAGTTTTGACACGAGGCAGGGAGGGCTGTATGGATGGCATTAGGGGAAGGGACTGTCTGTGTATGGTGACTGTTTTAACTCCTCTGTTAGATATGAGAAAGCCCGCTTACCAGTCCCCTAAATGAGAATGTGATGGGTGGAGATAAGAGTGGCCGTGGCCATTAGTGAACAGTGTCCACAGTGCTGGGCTCTGGGCAAATTTTATTTACAAACAATAAAGGGAATCTCTGCCAGGCGTGGTGGCCTCCGCCTGTAATCTCAAAATCCTGATGGTGGAAGCAGAGGGTCGGGAATTCAAAGTCAGCCTCAGCTACATAGTAAGTTGGAGCCTAGCCTGGGCTCCATGAAACCCAGTTCTCAAAACAGAAAAATACAGAGGGACACTCAAATCTTTACTAAAACCTTGCAAACCTTGTAAAGCAAGAAGTATTCTTAGAAACCCAGATGGGCAAGAGCTGATTACTGCTTCAAGCTATCTAGAAGAGAAAATAACGGGATTTTGCCCAACCAGCTTTCCAAACAGTCTTCTGTTTTAGCATCCCTAATCTCTTTCTCTCTGACCTGCATTAGTAAAAGTAAAGACCTTTGCTTTTGCAGAAGGCGCTCTGGGATGGCCTTTCTGAATACCACACAGGCTGTGAGCCCGGGACTTTGCTCCACAGACTCTCAAGCGCCTCATATACTTGTTCACTTGTCTTTCCCCTTCACCTGACTTTGGGCTCCGGTAGGGCAGGGACCACGTCGGTCACATTACCTGGTATCCTCTCCACACCTAGACGGAGCATGGCACGTAGCAGGTGTGCTCCAAATATGAAACGCACAGGGGCCGCATATGAGCTCACACTGCCCTCCTGCACTCTGCAACCGGGCCAGCTCCCGGCAGAAGTCTGGGCACATACAAAAGGCAGTGGAAAGCCAAGGCCCAAGGTAGACGGCTTAGCCGAGAGTATAAGAACGATGCACTTGAGGAAGAACAGGAAGAGCAACGAACCATACCTCTTTATCCCCCAATTCTAAAAAAGAAAAAAAAAAAAAAAAAACAACAACAAAAACCAAAACAACCTCAAGCATTGGCTCCATTTTCATTGATTTATTGAAAAATAAAATAAAAATTCCTTGAAAGAGCAAAACTGTACTTAACAGGAAAGGGTTTGGATACAGGCCTGGGTGAGACGGTGAGCTTGGCGTACTATATGAAGAGGCGGGAAAGAGGTGGTGGGGGGTGAAGAAGTACAATGTCTGCTAAAACCTCTACAGCTAGCCTTTCAGCTGCAGGCAGCACCCAGCACTCATCCCATCAGGTAGTTTATCCAGAATAGCTGGGAGATGGCATCACAGGGAACGGAGGTACAAAATCTGAAAGAGCTCTCATGCTTGAAGCTGTTGCCAGAACCCTATTGTGGCGAACTTGAGGTCAGGGAGGTTCATCTGGGTCCCAACTCAGCCCCCAATGAGCAGTATGAATCTGGGCAAGCCATTTCCCTCCTTCCTCGGCAGTGAAACAAGCTGGACTTCATGGCAACTTCTCCTCTGGTCCCAGCATTCTGCAACCTACGCTCGGGAAGAAAACTGGATCGGCTCTTCGAGGGCTATGAGGAACCCGAGCCAGAACAGCAGGGTTCTAGCCTTCCTCTGCAGACTGACAGCTCGGCGGTGCGGAAATGCTGAGGGATGAGAACAGGCACGCGTGCCTGTGAGAGGCTCACTCCCACTGCGCGTGTGACCTCTGCACAGAGCACTGCAGCTGAGCAAGACAAAGCAAGAGATGGGCACAGTGCAGGCAGGAGGAGAGCGTTGTGGGCGTTGGAAGCGGGCGAGAGCAGTAAGAGGTAAAACCACCCGGCACCTGGCCGTGTGTCAGATGCCCCCCTCCAAAGCGGAGCATGGGCATCACTGGACCTAACAGAAGCAGCTCTTCCAGTACAGATGACACACTTGGCACCGGGGTCCTTGATTCCTGGAGGAGCTCACCATCACAGCAGAGGTCAGGAATCATCTCCCCTGACTGGAATCAAATGAGGTAGGCCAACTCATCTCCTTCTGCCTTCCCTTACAAACAGGGAGGTGGCCTAGGGATGATCACCTCCACCCAGAGCCACTGTCCTGGAGGCCTGGGGAGGCTACAACCCCGTCTTAATGGCGGGGAAGGCAGATGAGACTGACTGGAGAAGGCTGCTCCCCATTGCCAGTATAGTATGTCTGTGCCACCGAGAACTCCAAGTGCAAAGGCTCGCAGAATGCACAGCGTGAGGGGAGGAGGCGCTCACATGGCAGAGGGCTGTGGTGGCCACTGCGAGATCCAAATCCACACTATTAGGTGTAATAGCGTAAGATGTTGGGGAGGACACACACACCAGTACACACCTGTGTGTCTATGAAGGGACGAGACGGCACGCAGGGAAGAGCGTGAGCCTGACCTACTTTATTAAGGAGACATTCTGCTCCCAAGAGTAAAACTGCCGGAGCTCACATAGGACAACTTTGGCACATTCTCCAAACACCCCAATCTAGGGGTGTTTCCATGGGGACAGTTCATCCCTAGGTCAAGGCAATTCAGCAAAGCTTTATGAAGCGACATCTCCACAAAAGGCACAATGAGGGCCCCCCCAAAGAGCTGAGAGCACTGCTTACGGCAGAAGGGGGACTAGCAGCAGAAACCAGGACTGCTGGAGCAGGGAGCTCCCCACCGGCTCGAACTCACTGCTCCAGGTCCTTGAGGGACAGGGCTGTGCCACCCTTGGCAAAGGCCTTCATTAGACTGCTGGGATAGATACAGCCCAACTTGTCTGGGGTCGGGAAGCCCCACACCCTATAGAGTGATGGGCTCAGTCGGTCCCCGATATAGAAGGGACCCACCCATTTGGCACTGCTGCCATTCCTGGGGAGAGACAACAGGAGGACCTGGTCGCCCACACTCCACGCCTTCTCCTGGCTGTCCCTCCTGAGACGTCTGTTCTCGGCCTTCTCGCTTGCTTTTTCCGCCACCCTCCAGTGGAGGTCCAGCAGCTCCCTCACCAGCTGCAGCAAGAAAGCATCCATCTTGAGCCCTTCGATGTTCGCACTGCTCATCTCCCACCACAAGGGCTCCGTCAGCCTCATCTCGCCCCCAGTCAGGACCTGGAATGGTGTGGCCTCCGTGGTGGAGGCCCTAAAAGCCAGGTGCAGCAAAGGCAGGGAGGCTGCCCACTTCTTGCCGTGCAGGAAGATGAACTCCTTGAGGGCCCTCTTGAATTCCCAGTAGGCCTCTGAGCTCATCAGGCAGGGGAGCTGGAGGGCCCTGCTCAGTGTCGTCACCTGGGCTCCCAGGGCCAGCCCACAGCTCACCAGGACGTGCCGGGCGAACTGGGAGCCCTGGGCTGCCTCCAGCCTTACGGGAACGCCCCATCTTGCAAACACGTGCTGCAGTAACACCTGGGCCACAGCCATGTGCGTGTAGGGCTTCAGAGGGAAGGCCTCCACCCAGCGGGTGTTGGCGTCAGCCACGATGAGCACGTGCTTGTGCCCCTCCTCGCTTACAGTGACGGGACCCACCACCTCGATCTGCAGGCTCGACCAGGGGGCGGTCGACCTGGCAGGCCACGGGGAGTCGATGACTTTCAACTCACTGCCTGTGAGGTTCCGGGGGATGCAAAACAAGCAGCTCCTGCAGTAATCTCTCACCTGCTCCTGCATGCCAGGCCACCATCCCAGCAGCCGCAACCTCTTATAGGTCTCCTCTGGCCTCTGGTGGCCCCCCACGGGGACGTCATGCACGGAGAAAATCAGATCCCTTCGCAGTTGCCTCGGGACCACCCAGACCCTGGGATGCTTTTCCCCCTTAAACATGAGCAGGCCACTGTCTTTGTCCAGGCTGAGTGAATGAAAGGCAGAGCTGAAGGGAGAGGGCCCAGACAATTTCTGCCCCACCTGCAGCTTGGTGATGATATCAGCCAAGAGACTGTCTCTCAGCTGTAGGGCCAGCAAGTTGGGCTTCCTGCCTTTAGTACGGGGGGTCACCACTGGCACTGGAGCATCCTTTGGCAAATCCCACCACTCCCCGCCCCCTTGGGCACCCTGCTTGGCCAGAGTCTCCACTGTCACGGCAAACAGAGATCCCCGGTAAGAGGTTCGGTAGATAAAGGGAAGGGATGAGAAGCCGGAAGTGAGGGATATGATATAGGAGGGCAAGCTTGGATGAGGTAGAGAAGCCCCGTCGGATGAGAGGAAGCCCCGGGCTTTCCAGAGCGGCAGGAGCTCCCAGAGAACGCTGAAGATCCAGTTGCAGTGGGTGAGGAAAACCACGGGGAGGTGGGACTGGCGGAAGCGCTCTAGGCCACAGGCCACAGCCGCCAGATGGGCATAGGTGGATGTATAAGGGGAACAGGAAAAGGCAAGTGACACCGGGGGGCTGGTGGGGGACAGGACGTAGAGACCAAAACCAGCACGCAACTCGTCGTCTTCATCACGGTAGAAGCAGTAGCCAGATATGTGGACGCAGATGAAAGCAGACAGGTCAGAAAAGGGAGGCAGAAGCTGGAAAACCCGAGGCATGGAGGAAGCGGCCGTCAACAGCTGGTTTTCCCCCAGCAGGCCCTGGAGAAGGGACAACTCCAGCTCCCTCTTGCCTTTGTCCTGAACCAAGAGAGACCATCGAATCAACCACGCTTTGGAAACCTTACGGCTCTCCTGTGTCTCGTTGTCCACAGTGGTCCGGGAGGCATAGGAAAGACACAGAACGACTGGATTGTCTCCAATGCATTGGGAAAAATGCTTGAGGGCCCAAGCCACAGCATAGGGGCTGTCCCCCCCTGACTGGGGACCCTCGCTGTCCTCGTCGGGGAGGAGAGGTTTTGAGGTATAGGCGATGGGGTGCTTCCTTCCTGAGTGCTCCTGCTGCAGGAAGGCTGTCAGTGACACTTGGCTGACGGTCACCTCCAGGTAGAAGGGTAGAAGGGCGTTGGGGGTTAACAGGCAGAGGGCGGACACCAGGGCTCGTTTCAGGGCCAGGAAGGCCTTCTCATGGTCCTCGTTCCACCGCCAGTCCGGCTTCTGCCTGAGGAGGCTGTGCAGGGGGCCCACAAGGACTTCATAGTCAGGGATGACATCCCGGTGGGAATCCATAAAGCCCATGAAGAAGGAGAGTGCGGTAAAGTTGCTGGGGATGGCGAGCTGTGCAAGCTGGGCAAGAACCTGCTGACAGGGGGGCTTCCCATCCCAGGGGACATCCAGGGAGGGCGACGACACAACCGGCAGGAGGTCGATGTCTAAAGCCTCCTCAGAGGGGTCCTGCAGGCTGAGACACTGGAGGATCTCCTCGGGGAAGGAAGGGCATTCGACTTCGAATGCCGACACCAGGGAAGAGTCATGGTCATCTTGCTCCTCAGGCGTTGGCATTCCTGGCCCCTCCATCGGCTCCTCCTCCAGGCTTTCCTCCTCCTTCTGCTCCCCGACTTCTTCCACACTCTGTAGACCCACCAAAGGCTCGGGATCAGCATCATCACTCAACTCGGAGACGCCGGCTGAGCTGGGAGGGAGGGTCTTCCAGACCTTCAAGAAATTGCCTATGTCCATATCCAACCTATGACCAAGACAAATAGAAGGAGAGGGGGAGCCCCAACCCCACAGGTTATGCAAGGTGGAAAAAACCACATGTGTGGTCAACCCCAAAGAGCCTGACCTCATCTCTAAAGGTTCTTCCTGTGCAGCAGGGGTCAGTCAGGAGCCAGTACATAAATAGCTGCTGTCTAGGTTAAACATGCTAGAACTTCAACAAGGATTCTTCTGTGCTTTGAAAATGTATCAAACTAAAACCTCGCTGACTGAGATGGTCAGTTTTCACTGTCGGCTTGACATAATCTAGAATCAACTGAGAAGGTAGTCTCAGTGAAGGACCTGGGGGCATGTCTATGAGGGATTACCTTGCTTACACTGAGGTGAGAGGACTATGGATTACATTCAGGTGCCTCCCACTATGGGTGGCATCATTCCCTAGGCAGGGGATCCTGGACTGTGCAAAATGGACAGAGTGAGCTGAGCGCTAGCAAGCATGCATCCATTGGTCTCTTCTGATAGCAGACATGATGTGACCAGTGCCTCTGTGACATCCCCACCTACACTGTGAGCTGAAATAACCCATTCTCCATGAGCTGCTCTCCTTGGGGTGTTTTATCACAACAACAGGGAACAAAACTAAATAAAATAAGACCATGAAGTATTTAAGCTAGTGTCAATGACTTGATAAGAGGTGACTGGCACTGTGACCCCAGGATGACCGTTCCAGGGAAAAGTTAACACTGGAAGGCCTAACACACCAACGCCTCAGCCTCATTTCCGAAAACTGATGAAACGAGATGAGAGGTGGGGTGGGCTGGCTCATCTAGGAAATGAGGAATGAGTTCGTTTACGTCCAACTCAAATTCTGAGGATCAGAGGAGACGACCAATGTGACAGCGCAATGCAGACACAGCTCTCTCGGACGCAATGAAAGGACTAGGCTGCCCGCTGTCACTCAGCCGCAGCAGCGTAAAGCAGAAACAGTCAGGTGGCCCCACAGAGAACAGGTTCTTCTACCCAGTAGACACGCATGGAATGGAACGCTGCACCGCTGCTAAAGGGCACTGCGTGAGTTTGCATGGCATGGGTCCGAAGACAGCAAGAAAACGCTGAGCACAAATGCCAGCCGTGGAAACGCACATGAAAAGGTGGGAGTGGAGTGACAATTTTGGGATTTTGGTTTCCTTAAAAAAAAAAAAAAAAAAAAAAAAAACCAAAGCAATATTATAAGAATATGTTTTCGTTTCAGTCCCAGGTGTGGGGCTGCTCACAGCAGCTGACTATGACTTGCCTCGTGGTCTGGCGGAGGCACGGTTTTGCCAGCTGCAGATAGCTTCTGCAATTGTGTGATGTTTGGAATTCTGGGAACTTCTCAGAGGCTATGTAAATGCCAGGGCCCTGATAGATGGGTGGCTGTTGGTTGGTGGTTGTTCAGGGGGTTGGTGGTAGTTTGTTAGTAATCATGCTTGAAGAAGAAAGAAATCAGAGTAGGGAATCTCTATTTCTCTCTCCCACTCTACCCTTCTTTCTCTTCTATCTAGTGATAAGGGATAAAAGTGGGGAGGGGATAAAGGGTGGGGAAAAAGCAGAACCCACCAAGTAACAAAGATCAGTTACATGTGAAGGAAACATTAAAAGCATAATGTAACCAGTAGATATATAAAGATGTGAAAAGGCCAAACCACTCTCTTCACTATTAGGAAGTAGATAAATGTTGACTAACGCTAAAAATGCCCGGGAGGTGGAGAAAGCCTGACAAATTACCTGTTTGGCTTCTTCAGAAATTCCTCCAAGGTGGGGCCATCACGGCCCAGGGGGTCATCTGGTACCATGAAGAGATTCCCGGCAAAGGTGAAGGGCAGCAGGCTAGACCAGGAGAAAGGGGCAAGGTCATAGGTGAGCCCAAGCTTCAGCCACACCCTGTTGCCTCCACAGGTCTGAGACCCCACCCCCACCCCAATTGCCAGCAGGTACTGGGAAACCCTTCTCCAAGTCTCCTCTTCCTGCCCTCAACACCTGCCCTGCCACAGTCTGCGACATCACTGAGAAACAGGAGCTCAAATCCCCAGAGCATCTCACCGATCTCTGACCATCAGCTTCTTGGAATTATTCACTAGGATGTGAATCTGCTCATTAGTGACAAGGACCCCGTCTGTCTCCTCTGCCAGCTTGACCATGAACCTGCAAGGGAAAAGGAAATCACCTACTGCCCGGCACTAGCCCTGTCATTGTCTGAACCTCCCTGGCAGGTCAGACAAAACTGCCCTCGGTAACCAAGCCAGGGCTATAGAACATAGCTTCTCTTCCACTTGGCCATCTGGGAACCCAGCAACCCCCAGAAGCTGTACTTGGTTGCACAGACCCCCTCAAATGTATATATACCACACACCCCTCTCCTACACATAGGCTCGGGCAACACAGAACCGCCCCCTGGTTCTCATTCACACATGGGTATTTTCTGTTCCCATTTTTGCACCTGTGAGATATAAATAAAATACCAACCCCGTGTGGCTGGGATAATTAAACTGAGGTGGTGCTCTTAACCGTCTCATTCAGTGCCTAGTGCACAGCACAGTCTTTTTCATCAAAGCACAGCACTCTCGTTCACGTCAAGACGTACATCCTCGTATATAGTAACACATAAAATCATGTGGCTTAATAAACAAATCCATTCTCTGGAAGATCACTTTCTGCATAAGGCTCAGCATCCCCCCAACCCCTGAATTTTAACATGCTGCTCCCCAAGTGCCCAGCAGAGGGAGCTTCTACAGAAACGTCATCTTCCCTTAAACCCTTGTCTGGATTTAGAGGATGGTGAGTCAGTTCTGGGAGATGAGAAGCTTGAGGGGCCTTGCCCAGCCCTTTCCCAGGCTTGAATATTGTACAAATTGCAAGAAACAGAACCTCTCCCTACCCAAGCATGCGTGGTTCCCAAGTGAAGCCAAGAACTTCCGGCTGAGCATCTGGCCTAGGACTATAGCAGAGCCATAGTCTTCCCTGCCCTAGTACAAGCAGGGTCCCAGACTCCCCTAGGCACGCTGGCTCTATAGCCATGCTAGACAATGAGGGCTGAGGGTTGACAAGCAGAAAGGATGTCAAGGTTTAGGCAAGCCAGGCCCTTCGAACTTCATGTCTAGAGGCTTGCGCAAGGATCTATATAAGGTCACGTATATACCTCCTCCCAGCACCAGAGTTGGGGGAAGAAGTGAAGGCATTCCTTGAGACATGAACTTTAACCCAAACCGGCACCTGAAAGCCTCGAGTACCTCTGACTCTCATGTGAGATACTGCTCATCTGGATGAGCCTCATGCTCGCGAGCCAGTGCCTGGCCTCCGCAGGCCACGGAGGAGGAAAGCCAGCTGACTCAGGGAAGTCCTGCACCAGAGTTCCAGAGATGGCAGCAACCTTGTGCTGGGGAAGGGCCAGCCTTTGGCCATCGCCTCATTCGTGCTCCAGTCCCTCCTCTCAGGCATGGCGTTTATCTCCATTTCCCCCTGCGGTGGGACAGCACCCACCCCGAGCCCCACAGAGGGACTGGGGAACGGCGTACCTGTAATCATAGGTGGTAATCTTCCTGCCATTCTCCAGCTGGGAGGGAGTGATTGACAGCATCTTGAGCGAGTGAAGCTTCGTCAGAAAGTGGCTCTCTGAGGGTGAACACAGAGATAGGGGAAGGCCTGAGTGGGAAAGATCGTGGCGGGGTGCTGGAAGAACAAGCCAGAAAGGCAAGGAAGAGAAAAAGCCCGGTGGTGCAGGAAGGGCCGGGCAGCCGCGGCCGTCTCACCTCTCACCCTCCGGGTCTTCCTCAGCTGCCAGGTGGGCACAAACACAGTGACCTCCCGGTGTCCTCGGTTCCAGAAATACTGCACTGCCATGGCAATGCCTCGGCAAGAAAAGAAGTGCTGGAGTCCGTGCCTGTGGAACGGTGGGAGGGAGGAAGATGTTTCCCAGAAGGCCCTGCCTTACCATTTACCTCTGCCCTGAGGCCCAAGCAGGTAACATCCCAAGAGCACCCAAGATGCCCTCTCCCTACTCACCCCACTGAGCCCCCCCCTTCCTGAGACAGGGTCTCTCTGTGTAGCTCTGGCTGTCCTGGATGGAGCTTACTATGTAATCAAGGCTGGTCTTGAACTCACAGAGATCTTCCTGCCTCCTGAATGCTGAGATTAAAGGTGGGTGTGCCACCACTCCTGGCCTGCAGCCCCTGTCCTCAAACAGCTACTTAAAGACTGGGGGAAAAATCCCTGACCACCTACTGCACGCTGAGAGCCTGTTCAGCGCAAGAACCCCACCACATGACAGACTGTGCAGTCTGGCACGGCTCTGCGCTAACACCTCCACAGCAGAAAGCACGAGCACACAAAAACAATCTCAGGTTGCGGTCAGGAAAGGTTTCTTGTAGGTTTGGGGCCAGGTCTTGAAGTCTAAGCTGCTGAAAAACCGGCTCGGGAAAGTACGGGCCTTTGCAGCAGGTAGAACTGAGCCCAAAGGCCAAGGAAATCTCTGGCTGACCAGGAGCAAAACTCTTCATCTCTCAGACTGTACCTACCTCTACCTAAGAACAGAAACCTACTCTTCTGCTACAATTTTGTACACACTACCTACCATGCAGTAGCCATTCAACATGGGCCACTCACTGCCCTCTCTGTGGGGCTATAGGCACACTGGAAGCTGCAGGCAGCCCCTTCCTGGAGGGTGGGTGTTCAGCTTTGGACACTGCTGCAGCCACGGGCGTTCCGAGAAGGTCAGGAAGGAATGCCTGCCTCCTCCACAGCACACCCAGCCCACGGCTACTCACACCATCGCCACACTGCTGCCATCAATGACCACTCTCCTCAGCCTTGGATTCCCAGGCTCCTCAGACAAGTTCATCTCGAACGGTGTGTCCAAGGCCTCATTGAACCTCTGGAAGCTGGTCACCGTGTTGTTGGCCTGTGGCTGGTGAGGTGACTGCCTCTGGGGCCCCTCCCAAGCCCCAAGAAGTCCTTCCTTCAGGAACTGATGCTTATTCCTGGAGGCCAAGCTGGTACTGGGTTGTAGACCCTGCCTTCCAGCCTTTCCCTGGCCTTTGGGCGCTGTAGTGCTACTCTTTGAAGCCTGGACCTCACTGCGGACTTTGGTTGCATCCGCGGTCGGCCCTGTGACAGTGGACCCCTTCTGGGATGCTGATGGTTTAGAAGGTCTGGAGGCTTTGGGAGCTGCAGGTAGTTTGGTGGTCGCAGGTGCTTTGGGAGCTGCAGACCCTGTTTTGGCTACGGCCCCAGTTTGAACTTTGGGGGTTTGGGGACCTGCGGGTGTTTTCACTGAAGGCATCTTCTGAGCTGTAGGAGACTGGGGCATTGTGGGTGTGGTAGCAGCTGCGGGGTGACCCATAGCTATGTTTGGGACTGTGGGCACCACAGGAGCTGCTGGCTTTGCTGGAGCCAAAGGCACTTCGGGAGCTGTGGGCTCTGTGTTCACTGCAAACTTCTTTGGAGTTGCAGGCACTTCGGGAGCTGCAGGCAGCCCCTCCCCAGCGGGTAGGTGTTCAGCTTTGGACACTGCTGCAGCCATGGACATTCCAAGAGTTTCGGACACCGACTGACCTGTCATCCTGGCTTGAGCCACGGGCCTCCCTTGAGCTGTGGGTCCCTCTTGCTCTGTGGGCAGTGTTGAAGAAGTTAGCTTTTCCAGGTCTTTGGAATCTGACAATGCACTTCTTTCATCTCCTTGCTTAACACCAGCTTGGGGCATAGATGCCAAAGACGGCCCTGCTTGCGGAAGTCCTGGACCAATCTTCTCTTTGATACCACAATCTCCCGGCACCACAGATAAACTGATGATTTTTGTGGGTGTCTCTGGCCTCGTGCTATGCTTTAGGGCTGTCTCCCTTCCTAGCTCCCCATCTGGTTTACAAGCTGGACTTTCTGCACTGGGCAGAGGAGCCAGTGCTTTCGACTTCCACTCCAGGTTTAAGGGCAAAGGATTCTGTCCTGGCAGCTTCAGCTGAATGGGGCCCATGGGCCTCTGCCAGAAGGGGAAACTGAAGCAAGCCTGGGATAGGAGCCAGGCCAGGTGAAGAGAATGCAGCTCATTGATCTTCCAGAAGGTTGCAGCAATAGTCCCTGGCCATAAGGGCCCACAGGCTGGCCCAGGGGTCCAGGCCTTCCAGGATGGACATGCGCTCAGAGCTGAGACCGGCGACTGCAATGAGATTCTGTCTTCTACCCTCTGTATCTGCCTTTGCTGCAAGAGGGCTTGTGTGTGGTTTGCAGAGTCCTGGTTGCTGATGGCTTGCACAATGGGTCCCTCCTCATGAACGCGGTTCATGTCCCCTTGCTTGTTGGACTGGACCCTGGAGAAAGTCCAAGTTTGTTGAAAAGATGAGAAAGGCAATTTGGTCCCAAATTACTATTTCCTTGGGATCAGGGGCAGGGCCGGGAGGGCCGGGGTGGAGAAGACTGAGTCTCTAGGACTTACCGTGCTGGCTGGTGTGCTGTCTCCTGCTGAGTGCTCGGAACTGGGATCGGGGGCCCAGCTGCTCCCAAACTTGTTACTCTCTTTGAATGTTCTGCAGCCTGATTCCAGGTTCCTATCTCTAAGCAGGGTCCAGGGCTGTCTCCTATGGTCACCAGAGACGAGCCTTCCTTCTGCTGCTGGGCAGGGCAGATGAGGACCTCTGGGCTGGAGCAGCTGCTAGAAATGCCAAAGTGGCTGAGCCACTCCATGACGTCCTCCTGGCCAGCAGCGTCTCGCACCAGGCTGAGAAGCAGCTCCTGGACGGCCGGGGGAAGCTGCAGCAGGTCTCCCGAATACTGGTCTCCACGGATCCACACCAGGGCCCCGAAGGCCCGGGTCACCTCTGTCTCCCAAGCCTCCCGGGGGGTGACCGTTGAGGCAGGGCCCCAGCGCAGCCGTGCCACCAGCTCCTCCAGCCAGTTCTGTGTCATGGTGAAAGATTCAGTCAGCCCACCCACCATCAAGGAGCCAGGGGGGCCAGGTACTAGGTAGGCCAGGGTACTCCAGCAGAGGCAATCCAGGAACAAGCCTTGTGCCCCAAGGAAGGCGCAATGCAGGACTGGTGGATAGCGAACCTCCTTCCACAGCTCTGGGCTGCACAGACCCTTCAGATATTCCTGGGCAGGAGGGAGAGAACAAAGAGACCCAGCCTGTTAGTGGCTAGCCCCAGCCTGTCCTCTGCACCTCAGAAGCCAACCCCCTGCTAAACTCGTGCCCTCCTGAAGCTGACACCGCCAGGGCGGGATGTTCTGCCCTGCCCCACCCCCAGTTCCCAGGGGAGTGGTGACAGAATGGATGACGCGCAGAGTAAAGAAGGGAGAAAAGATCCAAGTTTGCAGTCAAGAGACCTCACACTAGTTCTAACGTGGCCTTAACAGAGGAGGAAGGATTGCAGGAGGTCTGCCATCTTCTCAGTGTCTTCACCTATAGCACGGCAAGTTAAGATAGATGCGCTCCGGTCCAGGTCCCCTGGCACTACAGAACTATGTGGCACCTGGGGGAAAGGAAGCTACGCACTGTTAAGTACTCTCATGTGCTGAGAACATGAGCAGGTTGGGGCAAGTTATTAATCCCCTCCTCCTGCCCGTGTCTCCCCATCTTTCCTGCCGCATTGGTCTACCGGACGCTTCGGTGAACTAAGTGAGCTTATTCAGGATAGCGCCTGGCACAGCCTGTTCCCAAGCTACTGTCTCATCAGAGCTTGCCCAAGTGCACACAGCTCGAGGGTGTCTGCACCAGGCCACAGCCTACATCTACCTGCCTGAAACCAGAGCTCTCTACACTTCCTCTGGCTGACTACACAGAGACTTCTGGGTACTCCTGTAAGATTCCAGCTTAATCCCTCTCCAGAAGCTCTCTAGCACAACCTGTACCTGTAACCATGGTTACCCATGTTGCCCAGTGGTGAAGATAAGTTGCTGGGCCAGTGCCCAGAGGAATACTCCACAGGTTCACATTGTATCTAACCAGAAGGAAGGCCTCTAGCTCTCTGGCTGACCAGCCCTCACATTTTCAGGGACAGCAGCTAGTTTCATGTAGCTACCATCATCATCCGGGTGATCTTCAAGAGCTCCTAAGCAGTCTCGTAAAGCACAGGCCCAACTGGTCTGAGCTCACCCTTGTGTCCTTCCACATCCACATCCTTAATAATCACCCCCCTTCCTGCCTTCCTTGACAGTTCCATTCAGTGACAAATGTTCCCCCTGCCCCCTCCCTTTAAAAAAAAAAATCTCCAGCAGCCATCTTGAAGCCCATATTAGCTCCTCTGCTCAGGGAACAGGAGAGAAGGATCCCAGAGGCTCCCTGGCCAGCCAATCTAGTCGGTCAGTGAGTTTCATATTCAGTGAAAAATGCTACCTCAAAAAGTAGGGAGGTGGAAGGGGCTGGAGAGATGGCTCAACAGTTAAGGGTGCTAGCTGTTCCATAGCTGCAGCTCCAGGGGATCTGACACCTTCTTCTAGCCTCTGAAAGTACCATACTTACATGGCACACTTACTTTCTCTCTCTCTCTCTCTCTGTCTCTGTCTCTGTCTCTCTCTCTCTCTCACACACACACACACACACACTTTCTCTCTCCCTTTCACCACACAGAGTTTAAAATGTTTATTTTCCATCAACAGTACACTATTTTTGTAAAAAGTATAGCAACTGATACCATTTTTCAAACAATAACTATGAACTAAGCTTTACTTAGATCTTATTTGGAGCCAGGCACGTGGACTATCCGATACATTCCTCTCTTAGTCCTACAGAGGAACTCTCCATCATCTTCCTTTTAAATGAGGAAGGAAGATCCCAGCCGCATACAGGCAAGGACACCCAGCACAGTGGCCCTAAAGTCCAGGCTCTTTCCCATGACGTTATCTACGCTAAAAAGCAAAACAAACAAACAAAAAGCAGGCATGCACGGTCCAGAAAAATGATTTGAACAATCTATAGATGACACCTAAAAATAAAAAAACTTCAAAAGCAAGTGCTATTACTTGTAATAATATATTGCCCAAAATTCCACAGATCCTCTGTCGATTTGAAGTCAAATAAAAACATTAGCCCCAAATAATATTATACCCCTCTGTGCATGTGAGGTGCTTACAACACCTCAGGATTCTCCTTCCTGTTTGCTTGCTTGTTTGTTTGTTTGTTTGTTTGTCAAGACAGGGTTTCTCTATGTAGTCCTGGCTGTCCTGGAATTCATTCTATGGACCAAGCTGGCCTCGAACTCAGACATCTGCCTGTCTCTCCCTCCCAAGTGTTGGATTAAAGGTGCATGCTGCCACCACCCAGCTCTCTCCTTCCTTCTTGAGTGTTCAATCTGCCTTCAAGGGCCACCTCACTTTACATGAAAGAATGTCAAAAAAGGCTAAGAAAAATGATAGCACCAAGAAGCTTTGAATTCAAAGAGTGAAGGGAACAAGGAAAAAGGCCAAGTTCTTGGAGAAGAAGAGCAATCTGAAAACCTAGTACTCCTTACACAGAGAGACAGAGACAGGCAGAAAGAGAGACACAAACTTCCCCACCTCAGAAAAGCTTACTACCATCACTCTTCTCAGAGTCACACCAGAGACTATGGCACACGGCACGTAGGACAGATTTTGAAAACAGAACACACATGACTCTTAGACATTAGAATGTAATTACAGCGATGAAAAACCCACGAAAAGAGTTGAAAAATAAGTCAGTCAGAAAGCCAGAGTTACCAGGTATGGTGATGCACAGCTTCAATTCCAGCACTTAGGATACAGGGGCAGGGGAATCAGGGCAGCCTGGTCTACACAGCAAGTTCTGGGAGAGCCAGAGCTACAGAGAAAGACTTTGAAAATAAGAAGCCAGAGCCAGACTTAGAAAGTAGGAAAAACACTGGAGGGCGAAGAGGTGGCTCAGCAGTTAAGAGCACTGGCTGCTCTTCCAGAGGACCTGAGTTCAATTCCCACATGGTGGCTCGTCATTGGATCTGGTGCCCTCTTCTGGTGTTCAGGCATCCAGGATGCAAAGCACTCATACATAAAATACATAAACAAATAAACCTTTTTTAAAAATGGAAAAAGCAAACAAAAATGGGAGAAAAAGTAAAGGCCCTGCAAAAGCTTATCTAGATAGGAACTCGGAGGGCAAAGTGGGTGTGAAGGGTGGGCAGCCCCAAATGCCCCAGACCCAGAGACCATCAAGTCCAGAAGGAAGGCCTAGTGAACACGGAGCAACATGGGAAACAAAAACAGACATCTACACAGAGCAGGTTCACCGAGAGGACTCAGAACGTTAGAGAAAGCTACAAACTTGTTCGAGGGAAAACATGTCATGCAAAGGAACAGGACCAGAACAGCCTCAGACTTCTCAAAAGCCAGATATCAATAATGTCTTCACATTTCTAAGAAAAAAAAAAAAAAAAGCTGCTCTTTATCACTCAAGACCAGCTAAACCACCAATCAAGTAGCCTTCAGATGCGTAACCTAGACCTACACAACCTACAAACACGTCTCTCCTCCTAGGAAATACAGGGCTGGCAGTGGCTCCGTGGGATAGCCTCGGTCCTGGGGAAAATGTATTCATATATATTATACTTGTGTATATTATATATATATATATATATATATATATATGTATATATGTTATGTGTATAATAAATGCACTATATATTAGGAAGCCACTTAACTCACTCGCTGCCACCGTAACAAAATACCACATGTTGGGTCATTTAAATTGAGCATAACGTTATTCGGCTCCAGGTTTTGCAGACTGAGAAACCCAAGAGCGTAACACCAGAATCCAGCAAGAGCCCCCATGGCAAGGCAGAGAACAGGCAGGAGAGTCCCAAACGTATAACAAACCCATCTCATAATAAATAACCCACCTCTTAAAAGCCATACCTCTTAATACTGTTACAATCACAATTAAATGTAGCATGTGTCTTGGTAGGGAAAAGCCAGGCCATAGCACCTCTACAGAGCAATTTCAAAACAAAGAAAGAAGCCATGAAAAGAGCTAAACAATCTCCTGGATAATCAAGAGAAACCTCAGAATGTCATCAATTCAGCAGTCATTACTGAACACTGACTATCACTGTTATTATAGGAGAGCCAACTAGTTCAGACCATGTATGGCTCAGGAAACAGGCATGCTTTGCTTCAGCACTCCCTTTGCCAGGGCGCCGTCCCGAACAAACTGCTGCTGAGTGCTGGCTGCATACTGAACCCCCCACCCCCACCCCGCACTCAAGAGACTGAAGCGGGAAGGTTGAACTTAGAACACCAGCCTCAGCTACAGATTAAGTTGACACTAGCCTGGGCTACATCCACATCGCTAGACCCTATCGAAAGAAAGAAAGATAAGATACGGGGGAGGGGAGAAAGAAGGAGAGAGTCTTGCCTACAAGAAGTGCAGGGACAAAGAGGAGCAGAGATGGAGGGACTGGCCAACCCGTGACTGGCCCAACGTGAGACCCACCCCACGGGAAAGAGCCAACCCCTGACACCAGTAATGATCCTCTGCTCTGCTTGCAGACGGGAGCCTCGCATAACCGTCTTCTGAGAGGCCTCATCCAGTAGCTGATGGAAACAGATGCAGAGACCCACAGCCAAACAACAGGCCGAACTGGGAGTTTTGTGGAAGAATGGGAGGAAAGATTGAGGGAGCCATAGGGGTCAAGTCCATCACAAGAAGACCTACGCGGTAAACTAACCTAGGACCATGGGGGCTCACAGAGACTGAACCACCAACCAAAGAGTATGCATGGCCAGACCGAGGCCCCTACACATATGTAGCAGATGTGCAGCATGGGCATTCTGTGGGTCCCCTGACAATTGAAATGGGGCAGGGGCTGTCTCTGACTCTGTTGCCTGCCTTTGGACCTCTTTCCCCTGGCTGGGCCGCCTTCTCTGGCCTTAGCGGGAGAGGATGCACTTAGCCCTGCTACCTGTGACTTGATGTGCCAGGGTGGGCTGGTACCCATGAGGGGCCTCCCCTTCCCTGAGGAGAAAGGAAGAGGGGGAGGGGAGAAGGGGGCTGTGATCAGGCTGTAAAATAATGAAATAAATAAATAAACGGAGCCGGGTGTAGTGGCGCACAGCTGTAGTCCCAGCACTCAGGGAGGATGAGGCAGGCGGATCTCTGAGTTCAAGGCCAACCTAGTCTACAAAGTGAGCCCAGGAGAGCCCAGGCTGCACAAGAGACCTTGTCATAAAACAACAACAACAACAACAAAAATCAGCAATATGAACAAAGAAAGGCAAGCCATTTGAAAAGAAGTTTTTAACCTCAGTTAGACCATAAAAGCAAAAAGAAAACAAAAATCCTGGAATATTTCCTATGTGAATGATATGTACAGAGGCATAACAGAGCAAAATGCGGGCTTAGAAAATTGAGACACAGACATGTCGGGAAGGAAGAGGGAGTAGCCGTGTAAGAGAGCTAACCCTTCATATGTAAGAATAGTAATAAGAGAGCAAACGTCTGAAATCGGTCCAAAGACAAGAGTATCTGCATGCTGTGTGAGAAACACAAGGATTCATCAATGCCAGAAGGGTCCTGAAGGACAGGGAGGAAAATGTGATCTCCTTTTGTGACCTTTTAAAAGGACACAATAAGCCAGCACACACCTGTGATCTCAGCACTCCAGGAGGCAGAGGCAGGCAGATCTCTGTGAGCTTGAGGCTAGCCTGGTCTACAGAGCAAGTTCCAGGAGAGCCAAAGGTACACAAAGAAATCCTATCTCAAGAACAGCAACAAAATAATAACAATAACAATTTAAAACTTACATTTAAACAGAGAGATTAGGTCCTCAGTCGTAAGACAGACATGTAGGCAAACATTCCATAATCAGCCCATGGGGAAGGTATGCAACCCTGACTTAGAGCATCTGTCAATTTCTGTGGTGTAAACATTCTCACCATGGCTATACCTGTGTTCCTCCACTAGCCTGCCAAGTTCCTAAAATTTTGACAACGGATGTGTGTGAGCCAAACCCGGCACACACCTGACAGCAATCAATCCCCATGGTTCTGCTCAGCGAGCACCAGGGACAGGCCAGCTTCCGTCTGACGACCCAGTTCCGGAGCACGGACCCCAGAAGCTACGTCTACTATTGCTGTCTTCGGATCCCCTTCTCCAAAAATAAGAGAAGCAAGCATGTCACCTCTCCTGCCTGGCACTCCACCCGCCCTCATAGTCAGCTGCCAAAATAGTACAGAAAGGATGTTCAGGGTTTGGCCATTGGCTCGTTTAACCACTATTCACCTCCCCTGTTGCTGGTTGCTTTCATCTCAGGAAAGCCAGCTTCTCCAGGATGGCTTTCCTGCCTGGAGTATGGTATGCAGCAATATCTCTGATATTTCCTAAATCCTGCCCCTGTACGAGAACTCAAAAGCACGAGTTTAACAGAGATTTTTCTCGAAAAGCAAGCACGAGTGACATAAAAACACACCCTATTTTAAATGAGACCGCATCTTTCTTGAACCCCTCTGCCACTCAGACCAGGACAAACAACCCCCCCCCGCCCATTGCCCCTCCGTCTCTCCCAAAAGTTCTATACCAGGTCCCCACAGCTACAACTGAGTCAGCCACACTGCCTCCATACGGAAAACAAGACGTCCTCACTTGCATTATTTCAGCTGACCCTCACAGCTCTCACATGAGAAGAGTATTATTACATTGTTTTACACATGAGGGGAAGAAGAGCTCAGGATGGGTGAATTATTAGACCTGGCCCTCTTCAAACTATGCTTCTCTGTAAGGTGGTGACAATGTGTCCAATCCAGATCTCCTGACCCCCGCAACAAAACCTTATCCTTTCCTTCAGTTCGACACCAGCACGAGAAAGGAAGTTACCCAAAATCCCTGAAAGCTACGCTCCCACCTTCACCAGTGTCTCTCTCCAGGGTTGGAGAGCCTTAGGGGTGAAAATTATGCCCCAAAGAGGCAGCAGTGCAGGTGAGAGCTGACAAGCTTGAAGAAGCGGACCTGAAATTCAAACAAGAAACACGAAGTGGGGCGTCTCAGACAGCGCTATTCAGGGGGGCATGGGGAGTAGGTGGCTCAGTGGCACAGGCCCTGGATTCAGTCCCCACCTTAATGCAGGCTATTTAGAAAACGAAGTAGTTGGTCAATTGGTTGTTTCTCCATGAAGGCTGTACAGAAATATTGAGAACATAAAGAACCCAAAAGCCCCCTCTTGCCTTACCCTGCCACCACCCCACCACCCCGAAACTAAGGGGCCCCTGCACATCTGCTCTCTGGGCAAACACCTCTCCCCTCCCCCAGCACCTCTGTCAGAACTAGAAAACTGCTGATGCAGCAGCTGACTGGGCGTGCTAAGGGAGACATTTTCCAGCTCTCTCTCCTTCTGCTGGCTGTGTTCTGGGCCTCCTTGGCCTAGGCCTTGACCAACTGGGATATAGATAAAGCCCCAGCTGAAGACCTAAGACTGATGTGTATCAGGGAGAAGGGAGCCTTAAATCATTCCTACAGGAGAAGATAAGTGAATGGGGAAGGAGGCACTGAGGCAGAGGAAGGAGTCCAAGCAGAGAAGCTGGAGAGAGGAGCCAAGCTGAGGGTAAGCACGAAAAGCTATGACCTGGCCTGTCCGACGTTGAGCCCCACATAGCAGGCCCTTTCATCCCAAAGTCCATGCTCCTCCTCCCACCTTCCCTGGCATCCCAAGGCAGTGCCTTCCAGAAGAGATGCATCCTGCCCTGAGCCTCTCTGAGAGGCTGTTGAGCCCAGCAAGAATACAGGACTGGGTCCTAGGTTCTAGTCCAACCTCCACCAACCTGCTCCTACCTGACTCTGGTGGCTCAGGCAGGCCCTCACCCTCTCTGAGCCCTAATGCCTCCTCTATAAACTGCCAACACTGCTCTAGAAGTGGCTTTAGGGCCCTCCTCTAGTACTCAGAGAAACAGCCCGGGATTTAAGCAGACAGAAAGGATGGAGGCCTTCCAGAGTCTTGGTGAGAACAAAGACATGTTGCAGAGGCCACAAAAAATGTAGGCCCTTAAATTGATCCCAAGATGGAAAACCGGGACCCTGAACGCTGAGGCCTGGCCAGGGAAGACTCCTAGAAAGAGACTCTGAGGAGAGGTCCTCCGAGCACACTTGAAGTGACACTACAGGAACAGAAGTGGCATGCAAGGGAGGGGTGGGGCAGAAAAGAGAGAAGGAAAGAGCAGAGGGACCGAGCTGGATTGCCTAATACCTGCAAGCCAAGCAGCAGAACCCCATCTGAAGACCTCTGGGGACCGCGGACTCTCCAGGAGTGAGAGAGAGAGGATCTGACTAGAAGGGATAGGTGGGGGAGGGAAGGGAAGCCTCTTACCTTGGCTTTGCCCGTATTTTCTCGGGGCCCCTCGAGCTGCAGCCAGAAGTAGGGGGTGTCGGGACGGCTCTGGAAGGCGTTCACCTTGACTCTGAAGATGCGCTGGACTTGGAGGCGCTGCCGGTGCACCCGGGGCTTCGATTTTGTCTGCACCATGAACCATTCCTGCGCTGGGGGCTTACCCCCCGACAAGAGCATGGCTGCCCCCTCCCGCCCCTGGAAAGCTTGAGACGGTGTCACGGATCCCAGCGCCGAGGCCCCCAGCCCCGAGGCCCCCGACGACCTAGCCCCGCAGCCTAGGCCACGCCTCCCCTCCTTGCGGCGCGCCCCCCACCCCCACCCCGCCGCCGCCTCCCTGCTGCGGGCTCAGCGACCCACCCGCCAGCGCTCCGCGCCCGCCCTCCCAGCTCCGTCCCTTTCCGCCGCTGCTCAGGAGACAAGCCCTTCCTGCCGGGGGTTGTAGCTAGGGGTGGGACCGGGCGGGATTCCGCCGCCCTCCACTCCCCCCCCTCAGTCGCCACCCCTCCGCCTTCCCCCTCCACCTCTCGAAGCCAGGCCCCCTGGATAAACCCGCCCGGGTTGCTGGATGACTTAAAGAGGCGCAGGAGACCGGAGAGGGGAGGAGAGGAGGCTGGGTGGGAGGGAGAGGGCCAGACAGAGTACTGGAAGCGATTGCCTTCCACCCAAGTTTTGTGTCCAGGGGTCAAAGTTCCTTCCAGTTCCCCTTTCCTCGAAGGAAGGAAGAGGAAGGATTGAAGTGTTGGTCTCTAAGACCCTGTTCTGAGATTTCAAGCTGTGCTCTACACACACACACACACACACACACACACACACACACTGACCCTGTTTTGAGATTTCAAGCTGTGCTGAATATACACACTCCTTAGCAGTCTGCGTTTCCCTTGAGAACCCGGACCTCACCCACCTCTTTGTGTCAGGAAAGGGTTAAGGGAGAATGGGGTGGAGAGCCCTCAGAGACCAGGGCCTGTAGAAACCCTGGGCTGGAGACCAAGCAGGAAGTAAAGGGTTACAGCTCTGACCCCCACCCCCACCCCCAACTCCAGTCTGCGGACTGCCTGGACCTGGCCCACAGCCCAGACCCTGCGGAAGCCCCCCACGGCTGGAGGGGCAAGCGAGTTCGCTGCCAGAGTTCTCAGGCTTGAGAGCCCCTTTTCAGCCAAGTGTGCATTAGGGTGTGAGGAGCCGGGAGCTAGGGTCTCCAGCCACCCTTTTCCATAGCCACAGCTGGCATCAGTGGTCCAGCGCTAGCCCAGGCTGGGAACACCTTCAAAACCTGGGAGGCCCTGGAGGCGTCCTCAGCACAAAGAACACTTTATGCCGTCTTGTAGCCTGAAGTAGCCTGGCACTGTGAAGGCAGAGTTTGCAGTTGGGGCCTCAGGGAAACCTTACTTTACAAACAGACACAAGTATGACCTGACCCACGGGAACAAAGGGCAGCCGGTTTTAACTAGTTCCTTTCCTGGGATATCTGTGTTACAGAACCACCTGTGTGTGTGCAGGCCAGCAGGGAGGGGCGTGTGGTAAAGAAGAGGCTAAGAGGAGAGAGATTCAGGCTCCTGCCAGGCTAGTCTGGATGGCCAAGCCCCACCTTTACTTCTTAACCCTGAACTAGAACTCAGAAAAGGAAAAGGTGATCTGTCGGGGCCCTGGCTAGTCAACACTGCCCCTCTTGAAGGCTTTGAAAGCTTGCTGTCTTCTTGATCTCTGCTCTTCCTACTTCCAGCGGTTCCCTGTTTATCAACGGGGCAGGCTTGAAGGTGTAGCCCAGAAATTCCAGGGCTCAGAAGGCTGATCCTCAGAAGGGGAAACAGGGTTGTCCCTCAATTTCCCTTCCAGGAGTGAGGGAGAGGATCTGACTGCAGAGGTGGGGAGCCACACAGCCTTCTCACTCCTTCTGAGAATGATGCTAAATTCTTTCCAGCCTCCACTAAGCATGACTTTCATGCACAGTTAAGGAAGGGCCCCAGGTTTAATCCTATGTTCAAAGAGGGCAGAAAAAAGCCAAGCATAAGATACTTCATAAACAGATTTAAAAAAAAAAAAAAAAGCAATTTATTTAAACTTTTGTGCTCTGTAGCTTTAGCTGACAAAAATGGATATAGTAGTCCAAGATGGAAATCAGATCACATAGGCAAAGAACCTGGCAGTTGCTAACTGGCTGTCTGCCTTTCCCAGATCTTGTCTTCCTTCCCATCTCAGCTCATCCATCAACTTGAATGCAGTGGATTTGGCCAAAAAGCCTGGTTTTCATCCCGCTTTGTCAGCAGTGTGCTGTGAACCCTCAAGCAAGTAAGTAGATCCCTTGGTCAAGGCTCAGGAGTTCCTTCTCTTAGTGTATTCACTGGGCCAAGTTCATCCAACAATTTCAATACATTTATTTATTATCTCTTATGAGCCAGACTCTTGGGGTACAGCTTTGACTTGGGTGTCTCCTTGCTGTTGGAATGGGTCCTGTATGATGCAGACTGCCCTAGAACTTACCATAGCATTCAGGTTGGCCTTGACCTTGTCTCTGCCTCCCAAGAACTGAGACAACTTGCACACGCCAATGCACCCATCTTCTCTTAACAACTTTGATCCAAGTATCTTCCTAGCTCCACCTCAACTACGTTCATCAATTTTTGGTGGGGAGGGGTGGGGGTTTTGAGACAGGGTTTCTCTCTGTAGCCCTGGCTCTCCAGGAACTCATTCTGTAAACCAGGCTTGGCCTCAAACTCAGAGACCCACCTCTGCCTCCCCAGTACTGGGATTAAAGGTGGGCATCATGCCTGGCCTACATTTATTAATTCATCACCTAAAACATTAGGTTAAAAGTTGCTTAATTGCTGGGCGTGGTGGTGCATGCCTTTAGTCCCAGAGCTCAGGAGGCAGAAGCAGGCAGGTTTCTATGAATTTGAGGCCAGCCTGGATTACAAAGCAAATCCCAGATAGCCATGGATGTTACATAGAGAGACCCTGCCTTGAAAAACAAAAAACAAAAAAACAAAAGTTGCTTGATTATGTTAAAGGCCTCCTGAAACCTGGCCCAAATCTACCCTGAGCAGAAGGATCCTGGCTAAAGAGAAAGTAAAAATTACAAGTGTCTAAGCAGGTCTGGTACCAGGTAAGGAGCCCTGCCAGGAGGTTGTCTGCAGGAGGAAGGAGAGGCCTCCAAGCCAAAAGATCATCCTGATTAAGAAGAGGCCAGCACCGTGAGCATGACTGATAGATCCTTCCCTTCCAGAGTTTCAGAGGGAGAGTTCTGTCATTCAGGTTCCAAGGCCAGATCCACACCATCCAGGTTCCTGGGGATGTGGTGGGGAGCTTTGAGAACCAGATGCTGCTGCCTGGGACCTTTCTGAGGCATTAACTACGAGAAGAGACAAGCATCTCGTGGACTTTGCTGAAGTCTCTAAGCATCTCTCATTCATGGAGAGCTCCCAGTAGAGCAGAGGCATATGAAATTGAAGATTCCAGACAAACAACAGATAGAGGCAAGAGCCAAGGAAACCAGTTACTTCTCTGTGTCACCAAACAGGGTGGTTTTCCAAGGGTTCCGCACCCAGGTGGGAAGTGTGGTATTTTCAGCCGAATGGTGGTGGCTGAAGATAATTTATAGAAAGGATCTTGCCAGGCAAGGTGGCTCCTGCCAGTAAGCCGCCACTTGGGAAGTAAAGACAGGAGGATCAGGAGTTCAAGTTTTTCTTGGTTCTAAGGTATTTGTGGTGCTTTTTTAGCTTTTGAAAAATGTAGAATAGATATTTCTTCTATTTTATGCTAAAAAATTAAAGGCAAGGGGCTGGAGAGATGGCTCAGTGGCTAAGAGCATTTGCTGCTCTTGGAAGAAGACCCAGGCTCAGTTTCTAACACCCACATGGTGTCTCACAACCATCCTTAACTCCGGTTCCAGGGGGTCATATGCCTGCTTCTGAGCTCTGAATGAACCAGTGCGCGCACATACATACATGTATGCAGGAAAAACACAAACATAAGATAAACCTAAGCATTTTTCATTTAAAAATTAAAATCAAAGATAAAACGCAAGCTGCCATTCTAGCTTCTGCCCTCAGCTTTTAACATCCTGTTTATTATTTGTTGTCTGTGTGTGAGTATAGGCGCTCTTGTGCCACACGGCACACACATGACGATCAGAGGACAACTTTGGGGAGCTGATTCCCTCCTAGGGATGGAACTCAGGTCGTCATGCCTGCAGAGTGAGCACTTTCGCTGGCTGAGCCGCTTTCCAAACCTGCCTTTATCGTGTTTACTCACCTGTTAATTTTTGGTGACGGGTTTCATGTAGCCCAGGCATATGGAGTCTCAGTCTCCGTATGTAGCCAAGTATAACTTTAAACCACTAATCCTCCCACCTCCACCTGAGCCCTGAGATTACTCCGATCCACTTTATGTGATTCTGGAGAACAAGCTGAGGGCTTCAAGCATGCTAAGTAAGCATTCTACCAAATTGAATCACGTCTCCAGCCCCTACCTTTTCTATTTGTATGTTTTGTTGTTGTTGTTTTTAAAGAAAAAACACCCTATTATCAGGAATGTCCTTGTTATTTTCTGGGACCTTAGAGTCTAGTCAGATAGCCTTACTTCCTTCTCTATCTTGCCCCAAAGGGAAACTTTATAAGTAGGAAAGATATAGTCACTCAGCGAGAGTGGCCTTTTGTCTCAAAGGGTCTCATACCTAAGTGGTTGGCTTCATCTGTCCTTGATTCGACTGCAGTGAACAGCTGTGTGACTCACTACTGACAAACAAGCCTGTAGCTCACACTCCTGTGTATCCTGCAACTGAACTGCTATAGGAGAAGACAAGGCCCACGATGTGCTGTGCTGAGTTTACAGTGGGAGAGGGTGAGCGGTACCAGAATCCATCGTCCTGCTTTCAAGCCCTTCCCATCATCTTAGATTAGTTAATTAATTCATTTTTCAGAGGTCTTGCTATGTAGTCCAGGCTAGCCCTGAACACTTGATTCCCTACCCCAGACAAAGTATCGGGATTGTAGGCACATCCTGCAAGCGCCCCCTGCTTTGTTTTTTTGACTTTTTTCTTTTTTCAACGTTTCATTGATTCTTTGTTTCACATCATGTGCCCGGGTCCCACTCAACTCCCCATCCCCTTGTATCCACCCTCCATCCTTGCAGCCTCCCCCCCAAAGAAAACAAAAACAAAAACAAAAAAATAAACAAAACAAAGCAGAGAAAACCTCTCCTCGTGGAGGCTGTAGTGTGTCACGGTCTGTCCCACAGTGTGGTCCTCTGTCCACACAT